TGTACTCAGAAAGTACATGTGAGCAGTACTTGTACTCAGAAAGTACACCTAAAGCAGTTACTTGTACTCAGAAAGTACACATGAGCAGACTTATTTGTAGTTTGTGTGAATTGCTGAAGGTCACCTCTTATCCTGAAGCTCTTTCAGAAGAACACTCAGATTTCCTGAGACCACAGACTGCTTTTCGTGGTTCTGAAGCCACTCATCCAGGTTCTCATGCTGCCTCTGCAGACTGGACCAGAAACAAAACATCACCACACCAGAACTTTCTCTGCGGTGAGTCAGCGTGCAACCCAACAACCTGTTCTGGTACCTATTCAGGTCACCAAGGAGGGACTCCATCTGTTCCAGACGGTTCTGGCAGTGGGTCCGAAAGGTCCCGACCTCCTCCTGCTGCTCCTCCAGCCAGATGCTGAGTTCAGAGAGCTGCTGTGGAGGAACCTGCTGGCTGGACCTCTGCACCTGATCCTGGATCAGACCCAGACGTCTCTCAGTGTCCTTGGATTTCAGGAAGCTCTGATGGGACATGAAACAAACCATGAGGACACATCAACATGGGTCCACAGCAGTTCCCTCCAGTCAGCTGATTTATGGTCTTACTTGCAATCTTTGCACCGAGGTTTCCACATCCGTTCTGCTCTCAGGGTTCTCGAAACACTCATTGACTGACATCTGGAGATCCTGGAACCATTCCTCAAATGATTCCTTTTCATCTGGAGAAATAAAAAAACAACATGGTCTTTGTTAAAAGCTGTAGTGCAGGTGAAGTGGGTGATATGCATTCCTACAAAGACTGTTGTTGGTTCTGACCTGGTTCTACAGGAACCAGAATTTTATTGACTCCATGTCCTTAGACACGCACCTTTGAGGAGTCTGATCAGGCCTTTGTCCCGTTCGTCTCTCTTCAGCTGGATCAGGTCTTTGGTGTGAGCGATGGTGTCCTCCATCCTGCTGCAGTCAGCAGAAAGCTCCTCCAGAACCTTTGGACTGGCCACTCTGGAGACTAGACCCACTTCCTTCAGCACAGCATGGGCCTGCTCCTCCTGGACCTGCAGCTCCTCATACATGTCCTAGTGTGGGACATGTCAACAAACTGATGCTCAGGTTCTTTCATGTGATGACCATACAGTACTCCACCCAGTTTTGTACCTGGATTTGAGCTTCTGCCTTTGGTTCTGAAGCATCAATCAGACTCAGACAACCCTGGATGTTCTCCACAGCCATCTGACACTCTTGAATCTTCTCACACAGATGTTTCCTTACAGCTATCAGCTCTTCAAATACATCTGTGCAGTCAGTGAAGAGCTCCTTCACCTGCTCCATCCTCTTCTTCAGCTGGGTCTCCATCACCTAAAAGGTTCAGAGGACGACACGTTCAGAGGACGACACGTTCAGAGGACGACACGTTCAGAGGACGACACGTTCAGAGGACGACACGTTCAGAGGACGACACGTTCAGAGGTATATAGAGGAGCGAGGTACAAAATAAATCTACCAGCTCACCTGCAACTCCAGAGGAGCCTCTTGACTCTGCAGCATCTCCTGGATCTCAACAGACTTCCTGTGGAAATGTTCAATGTTCTCCTGGTTGGTGTGGATCTCCTCCTACAAACCAGAGACACTCTCAGATGGTTCCTCTGGTTCCTCCTGAAGGGAACAGGTGGATTAGGTCTTACCCTCATGGCAAGAACGTGTTGTTCGTTGTGGAAGGGATGACCTTCTGCAAACAGGGCCAGCTTGGCTTCGGCCCAGTTCTCCACTTCTTCACCCAGAACCAGCTGCTTCTCCCACAGCTCCACCCCCACACGCAGGTTATCCAGGTGGGCATCGGTCTTCTCCGTCACCTGCAGAATGATACAAAGAATTTAACTCAGATGCTCAGCATCAGATTTAAAGGTGGACCTTGAGCCAGTGGTGTCACAAGGAAACAAAATGTTACTGGTTTGATGTTATTTACAAGTTGCAAAAACAAAAAAACAACTGGATTGGACTGAGGCTTAGTTTTACAAAACAGTACTACTTTGGATTTATAAGCCTTTAAAATGTTTTAGATCACCCAGATTGGACTGAACCACATGAAAAGTTACATGTAGCTTTTCAAAACTAGTTGTACTGAGTGTGCAGTATTAGACGGTGTCATCAGCATAAAAATGAGAATTAGCATGTGGCACATTTTTATCTAAACTGTACAAATTATAAAAAGAAGTGAACCCAGGACAGAGCCTGTAGAACACCATAGATACTTGAAGACAAAAAGATGAAAGACCTTCCACTTGCAGACACTGACCTGCTGGTGAAGTAGTTTGTGTGTGTGTGTGTGTGTGTGCGTGCGTGCGTGCGTGCGTGCGTGCGTGCGTGCGTACATCCAGCCAGCTGTCCATGAGTGTGTGAGCCTCAGCTTCAAACGGCGTCTCGCTGCAGTCGGGGAACTTCTTCAGTTCGGAGTGGAGCTGTCTGCAGACGCCCCTCATCTCCTCCATCTGCTCACTGAAACCCCCCAGCTCCTTCTTCATGTCACACACCTGGAGAACAACGGTTCTGTTAGTGAGAACGCATCTGAGGAACCACGGTTCTGTTAGTGAGAACCCATGGGTCCTGTCTAAAGGTCTCACCTTCATCAAGGTTTTCTGCAGGTTGTCTTTCCCCACATAAGAAGCCTGATCTGTGATGGTCTGCTCAGCTTTCTGAATGACACTGCTCAGGTGACCGCGGCAGGTCTGGAACCTCTTCAGGAGGTCCAGAAGAAGTCGGCACTGCTTCCTCCTGCAGAGAGACACAGAGAGGATGGGTGTGACACCAACGTATTGCTCCGGGTCAAACATCATGATGTAAAAAAGTTTTGATTGACTTTGTTCAGATTTGTAAGTCAACCTCAGCATGTCGCTGAGAATCATCTGCTGATTATAGACTGGTGTTCCCAAGATGTTCTCAATTCAATTGTTTCTAAAGACTTGAGTCCAGAATTTAGTTCTTGATTATCAGAACCAGGTGCTCGTGTTGGCCCTACCTGTCACAGAACACTCTCTGACACTCGCCCCACTGGCTCTCCAGGTCTTCAAGAAGGGTCTCTCCTCCTCCTTGCACTTCTTGCAGTTCTCTGAGATTCTGGAGCTCAGACTGTTGGGCCTGCAGCTGGACCTCCAGATCTGACAGAGACCGAAGCCTGAAAGGACACACACTGATCAGAACTGGATCTGATAAGTTCAGGGTTTAAGGGTTGCAACAGAGCGGCACTTACAGGTGCTGCACGGCAGGGATGGTGGGCTCTCTCAGGTTCTGCTTCTCAATCATGTCTTGAAGCTTTATCAGCTCCCCGATCAGGGTCCTCTTCCTCAGACCCAAAGACCTGGTCTGAGTCTCCTTCTGCAGGCCTCTCTGCTGGGCAGCCAGTCCTCCATCAGCGTCCTCCAGTCTCCTCAGCAGGACCGTCACCATGTCCAGGCAGGAGGCCGGGGTTCCGTCCCTGGTGATGGTGAGCCGGGCTCCTTGCAGGAGCAGGTCCAGTTGAGGCGCCTTGGCCTTCAGGCTGTCGATGCTCTGCCTGATCAGAGCCAGCTTGGCCCGACGGTCCTGGAGGACCACAGAGTCGCTGCAGGGGGTTGCTTGGACTCCAGATACGTCCTCCTCCACAGTTCGCAGGGACATGAGGAAACGGTCGAGGGCGCGAGCGGCTGCCTCGCTCTTCCGGACCTGCTGTCGGAGCTGGTCCAGGCTGGTTCTGTGGGTCTCTACCTCACGGGTCAGAGGGAAGAACTCTCTGGGGTCAAGGATGCTGGCCTCGGGGTCCAGTCGGGACAGCTGATCCAGCTCACTTTGAATGTTGTCGTCCAGTTCCTTTAGAGAAAAGAGAAAAAGGTTGGAGGCTCAAAATGATTAAAAAAAAATTATTATTGTACCGTCAGGATGAGAAAACCTGTCTTCTGGATCAGAACAAAAAACCACGATTCTGATCCGTGGCTCCTAAGAGAGCTGAGGGTTATCACTGAACCCAGAACTAAACATCTCCTGATCCAAAGAATCAGAACCATTGGAGTTCTGGCACGTTCAAACCTAAAAACAAATTAAGTTCTTCTCATTTTTATGCAAAGTTCTCTTTACGTCTAAAAACCTGAAAACACACCTGCATCAAAGTAAAGGCCCATGGGCCAGAAATGGTCCTTGTTGCAGTTTTTGCGGTCCATGAAAAAAAATGTTTGATGGACCAGGACAAAGTCTCGATACGTTTGAAGAACTCAGTCCAGACTTCAGTCGAATAAAAGTAAAAACAAAGATTGCATTCTTTTTTTTTGTTTTTTCTTTTTTTTCTTCTTCTTTTTTTAAGAAGAGAACTTCCAAAATGAGATGGACCAAAGTTCTACAGCCTAGAAAAAGTCTAGTAATAAAGTTTATATATAAAATTCTTATCTGGAGCCGATCAAAGCAAAAACAGTCCGCGTTGAGTGTTTGAGTGAGAACATGCAAACTCCACCCAGAAAGGTCCTGGGCTGGAATTTGAACCGGCAATCTACTCGCCGAGTGGCAACAGCTCTACCAACTGATCCACCGTGCTGCCCGTCTATTTATTTATTTATAATTTATCTTTATTTTAAAATAAAACATTTGTTTAGATTTTTACTGACATTTCTTTCAATGCTTTAATACAATTTTTATAAATATTTAATATAAAATAATACATTTAAAACTGCTGATGGAGTGCACAGATTATAAAATCTTTCTTTTTTTTATAATGATGGTCATTTATTTTTTTATGAATAATTAGACTTATTACATCTGTCACCTGTAAATTAACTCCAGACTGAGTGACAGATTGGACTGGACTAAAATAAAGATTTTATTTTGGTCTCAGTGAAAATAGAAACATCTCTCCAGAAAAGTCTTGCTCACGTAACGTTGAGAGATTAATGTCTACAAACACCCGGCTGACCTTGATGTCCTTCAAGATGTTGCTGTTGGACAGGCTGAACCCACTGATGTCTTTGGGCTGTCTCAGGTACCGGTCCAGCCGGTCGGTGAAGTCCACCATGTGGTTCTCCGTGGAGTCGATCTGCCTGAGAGCAGAACCCAGAGAGCTGCCTCTCCTCTGGAGGTTCTGCTGCTGGCTGCGCCACGTCTCCTGCAGCTCCGCCCTGTCCTGCTCCACAGAGGCATCCCGGCTCAGCTGGGAACACTGGGACTCGTACTCGGACCACAGGGACTCCGTCTCCTGCCGCAGGAACTGGAAGAGAAACCAGAACGTGAACTCATTTATCTGCTCTGTGACATCTAAGAACTAAGATAAGAACCTGTACCTGGATCTCCTGGAGCCGGGTGTGCAGACCTTTAAGGGAAACAGAGTCCGAAGGAATCTCCTTGAAGCTCTGCTCGTTTTTGGCCAGATGGACTTGCAGAGTCCGTTTACAGGTCTCGTACCTGGAACCACCCCCCCAGGTGAAATGATGAAGACTCACAACAATCATCTAACACCGTGTTGCTCAGTACATGATCACCCATTTTACCGTTCAAAGGCCTCTTTCTTGACTTCTTCTGTGGACGGCTGCTTCTCCACCTGAGCAGGTGTCACCTGAGAAACCAGGAGAACTGATCAGTTCTTCAGCACTAACAGAACCTCAGACACAATCAAATGTCTTTGATAGCTTTGACTTTCCCCCTGGGATTAATAAAATATAATCTGTCTTTGACCACCAAAACACTGGATTAATGAAGACAAACAAGAAAACAAGTTTTAAATTAAATACTTCAATTAAATAAACTGAACGATGGTGAATGCATGTTTTCACCCCCTGAAGACCTTTGTGTCGTCACGTTCTACAACAGGTCCAGCATCAGGTCTTTTCAGGTCCATCTCTGTGGTCCTAGTCCACCAAGTCTCTTCAGGTCCACCTCTGTGGTCCTGGTCCACCAAGTCTCTTCAGGTCTGTCTCCACGGTCCTGGACCACAGAAACCACACCCGGTCCGGTCATTCTGTGTCTCTTTCCTGTCCTCTCTAACTCTTGCTAGTCGAGGAAGATGGCTGCCCATCCTGAGCCTGGTTCTGGTTCTGCTGGAGGTTTTTTCCTGTTAAAGGGAGTTGTTTCTTCCCACTGTCGCCGGTGTTCTGCTCAGGATGGGAGGTTGTGATGAGGCGGTGACTGAACACAATCTGCTGGTTTCCTTCGATAACTTTTGTCAACAGACGTGTGACGTGTTTGTTCCCTGAGATGATGATGGTCGTGAACTGGCTCCTGGTGGTCTGGTGGGTCCATGCAGAGACCACCTGACTCTCAGACTGATCTCAGTTGGGTCTGACTAAACCCTTTATGTGGATTCTGAAAGTAATGGTTCAAAGGGGGTGAATACATATGCACATAACACCTGATGATTAAAAACATTTGTTTATTCAGATTATCTTCATTAATCAGAATTGTTGTTTTTAATCCAATCAAAATCACAGACTGTAAGAAAACAGAAAACCAAGGGGGTGAATACTTTTTGACCCCTGATGGGTCAGTCGTACCTCCACCTGGACCTGAGGTTTCTCACTCGGTTTTTTAGGCCCTTTCTGTGTGTTCAGATCTTCCCCAAGAGTCAAAAAAATCCTGTAAAATAAAAAGTTTCTGTGATCTTCACGTTTTCACACAACAAAAATAAGTGACGTCACCTTCATAAATACTTTAATAGAAACGTCTTCAGTCACACTTGTTATTCAAAGAAAAATAAATGGTGGCAGGCGGTGCGGGGAGTCAATCCCGCACTGAAAACCTGACTCGGGTCGATGGTTCCGGGTCTCAGAACAGAACCTGATTCTGGTTCCAGATGCTCACCTGGACTCAGGCTGAGGAGCGTCCTTGTCTCCACTGAACTGACGCTGGATGGCAGCCAGCCTGGTCTCACACTCCACCAGCTGGGTCTGGGCCAGGCGGTGTGCGTCCTCAGGGCTCAGAGTCTCACACAGATCTTTCAGGGCCCGGAGGTGCTGCTCGGCCTCGGCGAAGTCTGCCGAGAAGCAGGCCTGGTCCATGGCACCGGAGAGAAACGGGTCGTAAAACAAAGAGTCACTTCCTCTGAAGATAAAGAAAACTGGACATCCTCGCAAAGACTCGTTTATCAAACAGAAAGATTTTACATGAAGAAAGTCCTCCCTCCTCCAGTTCTATGGTTTTCATAAATTTAATATTTAACAAGGCGGCATGGTGGCTCAGTTGGTAGAGCTGTTGCCTCTCAGTGAGAAGGTCGCTGGTTCAAATCCTGTTTGGGGACATTTGTGGAGTTTATATATTCTCTCCATACATGCGTGGGTTTTCTCTGGGTACTCCAGTTTCCTCCCACAGACCAAAAACATGCATGTTAGACTGACTGGCAACTCTAAATTGTCCCTAGGTGAGAGAGAGAGAGTGAATGGTTGTTTGTCTCTATGTGTCCACATGATGGACTGGAGACCTGTCCAGGGTGTCCCCCGCCTCTTGCACAGTGACTGATAGACATAGGCACCAGTGACCCCCATGTCCCAAAATGGAAGAAGCAGGGGATGGATGGATATACAGTTAGCTGGATGGCTGGATGGACAGTTAGATGAATGGATGGATGGA